AATCATCAACCTGTGAAGGGGAATAAGCTATGCTTTTGCACTCTGCAAATCATAGTGTACCACCAGTTTATCGTTCAGACAATCATTTTCTGTGGTATCATTTTTTCATTGTTTTGTTGTATTTTTATTTATTTTTTATAATATCCTACCTGCTTTGCTAAAATCATTCCTAAACTTTTCACAACTAATAAACCGAAGTTTTGTGGCGCTCCTGTTAAGCACTTGTGGAACATCAAGAAGTACCATTAGTACTTCTTGAAAAACACATAATTGGATAAAATTGCCTTGGTGACTTTTGACCTCTATGCCTTTTAAGCAAACAAAACAGTTGGGACCTTCACCAAACATAAAAGGTTTTTAAAAAAAATTATATTTACAGATTTATCATATTGTATTTATTGTATTTGCATTTTCTGTTTCTATGGTGCAAATAAATAAGTTACAACTTGCTAAACATACAGTTCTCTGAAACACTTCCCAGCTCTGTATTTTTGATTTTTCAGATCATCAAACAAATTTTAATAAAGCAGTTTAGGAAGATTTCATATTATAATAAAAAAAAAAGATATCCAAACGTAACTGGTACTCTGGAAAAAAGTAACTGCCTTGTTCATTTTGTCCTGAATAAATGAATTTATTTACCTGAAGATGTGATAAATGTTTTAAATATAAGCTTTCTGACAGCTGAGAAATCAAAATAAAAGAAACATCTTCGACTAAATGTAGATAGACAAAGTCATAGACATCTTCCAGTCTTGAAAGTGATAAAAAGAGACTTTTCAAATGCCACTGAGAAAAGCAGATCATGCATACCAGCGCAGATCAGCAATGCAGCTAAGGTGTTACTGTACAAAACAACCCAAAATTTTACAGCAAAGCAGCCTTCAAAATTCCTCATAAGTTTTTTTATTTAAAGGAGAAGTCCCGGTCAGCAAGGAATAATCAATGGATCATTATTTATACCTAAAACTAATATGTTCGTAGTGATTTAATGAATTAAGTATTAATCAATAAAAAACATATGGTTTTCGTGGCGATCACTGAGTGTGGGAGCGGCCATTTTTGCCCAGATATAGTAGCCCCTCCCTCCTGCCATCTTCCAGCAGTGACGTCACGGTGCGGTAAGCCTAGCGCCATTCTCCCCGCTTTACAAGCAGAATCAATGGGAACTACTAGACACATCTGCAATCAACAACAATTATTGAAGATTTCCAGAGGACTTCACCATTGAAATTCACCAGAGCTATAGTGAAACTGACAATGCCCACGTGCATGGCAGCTGGATGCTGGAATACATCGGGGAAAAGTGAAAAAAAAGAGTTATTCCACCTTTCTGATTCTGATCCTCCAAGGACGGGTTGGTCGTTGGATCTCCAACTTGAAGAGGGAGGATTTGCCATCGAACTTCTGGCCAGAGAAAAAACCCGTAATATGTAGCCAATATTTGGAAGAAGAATGTTTTCAAGATGACAAACACCAGATACAGCACTGGGACTTGATCAACCGCACCGTGATGTCACAAACCAGTAGGTGGCAGTAGTGTTCTTTGACAAACATGGATGCCTCCAGTAAAGCACATTCACATGAAAATTACTCTGAATTAAAAACACTGATCATTTATTGAAAAGTTGGTAATAATTTAAAGTACTTACCAAAGTTTGTATACCAAAGGGGACCAGACTTTTCCTTTAAAGATTAAAATGCTAGAGACTTGAATAAACTCCAGTGAATACCGAGGATGAAACAGATGAGATAAAAGTAAAAGCTTTTGGAAGTTGAGTTTCATGTTATATCTAAGACTGATAGTGATTGGTATTCAAGTAGCATTATAGAATAAAATGTTTTTATTTATTTATTTTTTTTGTTGCATAGGTTCAGAAGAGGTACAAAAATAAAACAGCAGCAGCATTTTGTGTAAAATGATTAGCAGAATTGCAACAAAACCTAAAATATTAGAATAGAAAAATGTGTATGGAACGGACATTGTCACAAAAACTAACATAAAATATTTTGAATTTTCTTTTCTATCTGACATAATACTAACAGTTTAGTATTAGTCCTAAACATCATCTCTTTAAAAGATCCAGTGGTGGTTTCACTGTGAAGGTTCTGAGCTGCTTTACTTCCCCAAAACCTGGACAACTTTTTGTAATTTCTGTAATTATGGATTTTTGCTCAATTTAAAAGAAAACTTGTAGCAGATTTATCAAGTTTGACTCCTCATGAAGTCTCACAGCTGTGGAAGATGCCAGGATTGTATGTGGGGGGTATAAACGTGAATTAAATGGCCTCCTCCCTCCAATGAAAAAGGAAAACAGTCATTCCTATGCCAACACAGTGACACCGTATGTGCGTGGCTGCAGCTTTGTGCACAAACATTTGCTATTTCATTAAAAATTCATCTATTCATTCAAATAAAAGTCTTTTTTTTAAAAGCACCTTCTTACATTTGGACAGGTTTGGAGATGCTGGTGACAGCAAACATTCAAAGCCCCACAGCTCTGGAACTATTGTAGCCAGAGGTCTGAAATTTTCTGCATTTGTGATTGACATGATGTAGAACAAATGTAATACAAGGAGACATACCTATTCTCAAGCATGTCTTTATTACTGCTGTTAAAAAAAAACTATTATCGAAAAAACTATTTTTCAATAATAAAATAAACAACTTTGAGTCATGTTTGAACTGATGTAGCTTAGGCTGTGTTTTACTCACCCAATTTTCATTTATATTTTCAGAAACGAGAAGATGTTAGCTTTCAATGATGCATCACACATATAATGTGGCTTTACAGTTCCTTAGTAATTTGCTTTTCAATTTGAGTATGCAAAACCGATTAGATTGGGTGGGTGTTTAATGCTTAGGGGCCGGTTTGGGATTGGGCCGTTGGCTCTGCAGTAGAACAATCCAAAACACAGCAGCATGGTCGCCACATGGCTGAAAATATAAGGTTATAGCCAGATACAAAAAGAAGAAAAAAAAGTTAAAGTATGAATTTAGACACGCCTTTCATTCTCAGAAAATAACTTTGCCCAGAAAATTGGCTAAGCTTGATGAAAAGTGCCTCTGGTGAGGTTTGTTGTGTTTTTGTTAACACATTTTCAAAATGGTAAAAAAAAAAAATAATAATAATAATCATTAAAAATACGTTATTGAAAACACCTAAAAAACAATATATAGACAAGATAAACTTCAAATATTTAATTAAATATTATCAATAAATATATATTTTTTACTGCAGTCAAATCTCAATTAATTTAACCAAAGATTTTTATTTGTTTCATTATTTGAATTGTAATAAAAGTCTGATTTTAAAAAGCAAAAAAAGGAACCCCCTTAGTAGGTCTTCTATGTAATAATTTTGTTTATTAATAAATAAAGTGTGCCAGTAGTTAAATATCAGTATAAATTTAAGCCACCTGCCTGATTTTTCCTTAATTACATCCTGCAGTTAGAAATAGTGGTTTTCCACAGGTGATCTGCAAGCAACTCAAACTCATGCATTTACCAGGGCTGGGCGTTAGGAATTAAAAATATGATCTATTCACCAAAGCTAATTCATCCCATTTTTTTTTTCTCGCTAATGTTTCATAATAAAATCACATATATTGCATTCAAAAATTTGATTTGATTTCATTCGTCCCCTCTGGGACGTGACCTTAAGTTAAAGGGCAACAAAATTCCAGCTGTAAAAACTATTTGTAAAACAATCATGTTTCCCAAAAAAGAAGATGTAACACATTTAATGTTTGCAGCTAGTGGTATTACACAATCAGCTAGTTTATCAGTTATGAGTATCTATCCAAGAACAAAAGGGGATGAACTGATGTTGCTCTAGTAAAAATCCTGATTTTATTCTTGTGTAAAAACTTTAGTCTTTGATTATTTCTGATGAACAGGGCAAATTGGGCACATAGTTATGGACAGAAAAATGAAAAAAATAGTAAAAGAATGGGACATCTATTAACTAACCTGCATTAGTGATGCTGCAGGATATACACTTTGTTTAAGAAAAAAACATAAGCATAAAAGCAATTTAATGAAGTGTAATTTTTGCCTCTACTTACTTCAATGCTTTACTCCCACCTGAGCCACAGTAATTTACTCACCAGATTGTCTTTTACAATCGGCCCCACCTGTCAGCCTACTCTTCTGTATGTGCTGCCAGTGAATTGATGGCACCTCTAAATCCAAAAGAAGCAAAGTTTTTAAAACAACTTGATGTCCCCGTTCTTGCATGCTGCAAAAGCCATGTAGAAATAAGTAAATTTCTCTAAAATTAGGTGTATTTCACCTTAATTTGAGTAGGTAAATAAGATGATTTGCCAATGGAATGCATATTTTTACTCTTAAAATAAAATTATTAGATAATTTGCACTTGGAATAAGATTGTGTATATTGTCTTGTTCCATTGGCAACATGTCTCACCTTTTCCTCCTCATTTAAAAAATGCACCGATTTTAAGAAAAAAACAACTTATTTAGAATTACATTTTTGCAGTGCAAACATCTGCTTTGTCTGCATGAAGCTGACAGTCATGCCTGCATGCCACATGTTTTCCTTTTCAGTCATTCACTGACAAGCAAAAAAAGCACTTCACCTTTACACGAAAACCCCCATTCTACAAAAACAAAGAGGGTCAGCAAGATGGCAGCGATGTACAGCGTAAGTAGGCTCAGACACACAAGCACCTCCACACAGGTTCAGTGTAGTCTTCATCTCCTTTGTCTGTATAAGCCTTGCAGTGAGAAAAACTGCTTAAACTCTTGGTCTTGTTTTTTTATTGCTGATCATTTTCCATGTTTGCTGTAACAGACTGATCATTGTGATCATCTTTATTTTTCTCCCATACGTTGACAGGTCACCTACTTTCCACCTAGCCTTCGTTAAGATTTAGTTCCATTTGGCCAATGATCTTGTGTTGTATGTGGATCCCCTGTCAGCTACATGTATTATTTATTACAGAAGTAGATTTGCAGGAGCAGTGCCTCCAACATTTTGAAAATGCTGCAGCTTTCCCCTCTCTTTTTTATTTTCTTCTCCGGATCTTTTTGGATGATCGATAGGACATCGTTGGAATATGTGATGATGGGTATGGGACCAGAACATTAAGTAAGTTGGTTCAGAGAGGATATCTCACTTATGTTCAGCAGAACCACCCTACCGAGTGTACTGAACATATATCGTCCGTCCATCCATCCATCCATCCATCCATCCATCCATCCATCCATCCATCCATCCATCCATCCATCCATCCATCCATCCATCCATCCATCATGCTTATCCCTGCTGGGGTCTCAGACATATATTGTATAGTCCTAATTATTTTTTTTTAAGTGTATGTATGAGCAAGTTAAGGTTTATACCATGGTAAGCTGACCCTTAATGGATTATGGGGCAATATGACACTATATACTACTAGTACATCACATCTCTAATTGAATGTTTTATCCTGATTGATCAATTCATGTCATTCTCTGTCTGTTACATCATTTTTATAAGATTTTCAGCACCTTTCTCTGTATTATGCTCTATATGTCTAACCATTGTTTCCTAAGAGATTTTTTCTGTATTATTGGATAGGTTGTTCCTTGTGTTTTCCCCGTCTATGCCCCTTTAATCACTCTCTGCTCCACCTGTGCGCTGCTTTATTGAAGTAGTCGGGTTACTTTTGTTCTTCACTGAATCCTCTACTTTTGTCTACTGTGTCCAGTCCAAATTTATGCGCTTTTGCAAACTCATTTTATTAAAGTCATCAACTCAACATGCTTCTTCCTAGTTTCTGTCTGTACTTTGGTCTGGAACAAAAAAAACAAGGGTTAATCTACGGTCACGTCGGTCCCTGTCTGGGTTGTTGCCCACGACCAATCAGATCCCATCTCCAGTTCAATTCAGTTCAATTTAATTTATATAGCAATTCACAACACTTCCTCTCAAGGCACTTTGCAATTCAACCAGATCATCCAGTCAAATTGGTTCAAAAGTTTCTATCTAAGAAAAACTGTCATGGTGCAGGGCAGAAGGACCCAGTAATCAAGATCGGGCTGTGGATCCGCAGTATCAGCGGCTACCGCCCATCACTGGAAACTCTGATTTAAGAGAAAAACACAGATTAGTGACCATGATAATCTGACGGTTGATTATCCATTCAAGTCACTAACCTGGTTCAACAGTCCATCTCTCCAGAAAACGAGGTAGTATTCAGCCGGTGGGTTGACAATGAGATGTGGCAGGAGCACCCAGAGTGTCCCAGATGCTGCAGCCCCAGAGAACATGCAGTAATGAGAGCAGGTCAGGGATACCGATCGAAACAAGAACAGGCTGGCTCAGGGTTCCAGGACCCCATAGGTAGTGCAGACAGAAAATTCACATGGGAACAGCCAGGTACAGTGGTCGAGAGGCAGAATAGGTCAGGATATCAGGAACACTACAGAACGCTAAAAAAACGCTCTCTCCACTGAGCCAAGACAGGAACAGGGCACGCTCGGTGGTTAACAGGTAGATCAGGATCAGGAAATCAGAAACACCACGAAACCCTCTTTCACCTGGCCCCTGAGAAGAGAACATGAACAGGAGCATCAGTGTCAAAAATCTGGCCATGATGGCTGGGACTGAGCCGTATGAATAGAAGCAGCAGCAGGTGGATTAAATGAGCAGTAATGAACAACCGTGAAGGTTTAGACAGTTGAATGAAGTGAGCAATTAGGCCAGCTGTCAAACTGTTTGTTTGATGATCCAAGATCATGACAAAAAACACCTGATTGCATAGACTTATTGACTAAAGCATCCTTCACAGCTTATCAACAGTGTATCTCAGCATGCCAGCTTCTTTTTAATGGCAGCACATCTAAACATACAGTCTGTCTCCGCAGTGCAGACTGACATAAACTCCAGATTGCTGCCTTTTCCTTCTCACCACAGGGTCCACCAATGTCATAAACCCTCTAGTTCTGCACCAGATGGATCTTGCAAGTCTAAATTTGAATAATGCACTTTTACAGCTACTGGACACTGCAAGTCAACAGCAGTGCTTTTTTATACAGCTACAGCAGCATCAGAACCTTCCAGGTTTGTTGCTGAACCACCCATTGCTGCTGTCACAGTCATTGGCCTAGCTCTGCAGTTTAGTCTCACAATTTCAATTGTACGACGTAAGCGTAGCAAAGTACTGTTTCAGTGACTACAAGATGCTAACAGTCTCCCCTGGAGATGGTTTATCTTGGGTTATAGGCTGAAGTCCTGGTTGGACGAATGGGGGAAATTCTTCCTTTTATGTGACATTAAAGGAGCAATGGGGGAAATGATTTTGTCTACCAGAGAACCGTGGCAGAAATCATCACTTTCAGGTCCAAGCAGTGATCTGTAGCCAACGAGGGCCCTGTCATTATTTTAACTGATGCTATATCCAAAGGGCAACATGGTGTCTTGCTCTGAGGGTCTTCACAACACCTCTGCTCTTATCTTGAATGGGTTTAACAACAACGCAGCTTCTTTCTTTTAGGGTCTCAACAACCACTTGGGTTTTTCTGACACCTCAGATTCTGTCTCTAATACTTCTGCTTGTGTCACTAAGCGAATTTACAAAACCTCTGCCTCTGAGGGTCCTCAACACTCCTCTGCCTCTGATAGTGAGGCTAAGGCTTCTGCCTATGATGGCTCTGTCTCTGAGGGTCAGCTCAATGCCTCTGCATCTGCCTCAGGTCCACCTGACACCTTCCGCTTGCCTAAGTCATCCATATGCTGCAGGACCGGTCACAAGGTCTCTATCACCATTGACATCCCTGCAAACCCAGTTCCTCTGTCTGTATCAGAGTTGGCTGATCTCTCTCTGAAGGGCCCTATAAGTTTCTTCATCATCATCATTGTCATCATCTACACTCCTGGCTCTGTCATCATCCTCATCACCATGATTGTCATTATCATCATCATATGATGATGATGATAACCTGAGTTCCCGGAGCCCTTCTAGGATAAGCCGACTCATTTTCATGTACCTGAGCGAATCCAAGTGGACCCACATCCTGTCCTGATTCCTGAGTTGTCTCATAAGGGAGTCCTGGCATCTGTCCGCAAATTGGTTCAAACAATCAAACCCTTACAATTAAAAATGCCGAATGAATTCTGAAGGGAATAATTGTTTAGGTTTATTAAATACACTGGAGATATTGATGGCTGTACCATTTTTCTAGGATCGATAAAGAAATTACCAAAGGGTGTCAATATTCTTCATTTTATGGAAACAAAATAAACTTTAGAAGTAATTCCAGAACAGATCTGGTCTTCTTTTTTTGCTCCCTGAGTGTCTTTTGGCCATGTATTCTGATGCTGCTACTCCAATGGCAAATGGCAGAATATCACACTCTCCACAACAACTTATAGAAGCTGTTGAAAACACTAAAGGACATAAACCTTCTCAAAGCTCAGTCTGCTCACTATGTTCTTGTAAATGGCTTCACAGTTGTGTCTCCAGTCCTGTTTGTTGTATAGGTCAACCCAAAGGTATGTATGTTGCTCTACCATGTAAACTTTTTCTCCCATGATAGAACAAGTCTTTCACCTGTTACTTTTTTCTCATTAAATATAGTTATTCTCCTTGCTTTATTCATATTGAAGATAAAATTCTTCTTCACACAAAGGCCATAAACTGATCCGCTGGTTGCCTTAACTCTTAATGCTTCTTGTCCATCTCTGATTCAACCCATGACAACAGAACCATTCGAGTATTTTTGCGGATTACTAGTCTGTTTCTTAAGGGAAGCGCGAGTGGGTACAAAGTAATAGTAAGAGTACAGTATCGTGTGGTGCTCCTGACTACCTGGTTAGGCAGTTGACTCTTTAGTTTCTAACTCGTTTCTGTTTGTCGAGCATCCAAAAAAAAACAAAAAACACTGGACTTTGTTTTCCAAGCTTGAAGACATTTCTCTTCCAATCCAGGAAGCTTTTTCAATTCAAAATGTCTGAATTAGTAATAAGTTCCAAGCTTTATAGAGAAGCCCAACAAAGCATTGTTTTGGCATAGAAATCATACAAATTGAACTGGAATAACGGGAATAACGGCTTTGTTTGGCTGCAATAACCCGCTATGGGCCGATGCCTCTGAAAATGGGGAGTCATTAGGGCCATTGTCGGCTTGGTAGACCAGGTGAGATGTCTTGGTCCCCGAAACGGCGATGAGGATTATAATAACGGAAAGGAATCAACTCTATCGCTGCGTTGTAGGATTTTGACAGCTGAAATGTGACTTCAACCCCTCTGTTTAAGGTTGTTTTTTCTTTCTTAACATAAATGTCTTCCTTCACCCCCCTTTCAAACCACCTGTCTTCTTTTTTCAAAATGTGAACATTCTGGTCATCAAAACAATTTCCTTTGTCCATAAAGTGTAGATGTACTGCCAGGTCTTGTCCTGAGGAGGGCGCTCTCCTATGTTGAGCCATGAACCTGTGGAGAGGTTGTTTGGTTTCTCCAATATAAAAATCAGAGCATTCCTCACTGCACTGAACTGCATACACTGCATATACCACTACCAGTGTGTTTCAGCCCACAGAAAAGTTTTTTGCATTTGGTTTGAATTTCAATTTTTTTTCTGTTCTTTTTTGTGTTTCTTTGATATTTTCAACATAAAGGGACATTTTAAATGTAGTTCTTATAGTTTGAAATTTAAGAAATTATATTTATTTGACTTAATTTACAAAAGTTTAACATTTTCGTCCTAATATTTTCTATCTGTATCTCTCCAGGAAGTCAAGAGGATGTAGGTCTCTCATATGAATCTGTTTTACGCCAAGAAAGTAAGTTCACTGAATAACAAACAGAAGAAAACAATAACCAGAGGAAAATTCATTGAGGACATATCCGGGAAAAATGGGATGTCTGGTCAAGCTATAAAACAGCCCTGTCAGTTAAACCCAGTTTGGCAATCCAGTTGTTGACTGAGGAAATTCTCAATCATTAAACTCTCATCTTCTGTTTTCTGTTTTATTGCTATTGGAGTTTTCTAGTCTTCCTGTCATCACTGCTTTATTTCCTCCACCTGCAGACCCAAGGTGCCTATTAACTGGCCACACCAAAACCATCAATGATGCCTCACTCAAAATGCATCCCCAAATGAAATCAATTGCTGTTTGTTGACCCTTTGGCTTACATGCCAGAGCTTTGTGTCTTTATGAAGAAGACATGCTAAAAGTTTAATTTCTGCACTCAAGACTCCTTTAATTGTATTCACAATGTAGCTTTTAAGTGTTTGAACACAAAACAATTGCAAGATCTCTTTGTGACACCATTTGGAGTCTCCAAATGGAACCTTCGGGAAACCAGTCTATTTCACAAAGCGGGTTTAATTAAAACTCTACCTTGTTAACCATGAAAGGAGGGAAACTCAAGAGTTTTCAGCTTCATGAAGAGAGGTTTGTCAAACTATGTGTAGCCACCAGTAACACTAGTGAGCGCTACAACCAACCGCTTCATTATCATCACAATAAATGGTCATTATTAGTGGTTATCAGTCCCACAGAATGACTTCAGTGCCAGCAGTAGTGTAATGGTCCCTGGACAAGTGGGTATACATGTACTGTTTTTAATGACCAGAAACAATGACATGTAAGTCACATTGAAATGTCCTTATTTTTGAAGGAAAAGCACTGTACTTTTCAATGAAGATAACTTTAAACTCGTCTTAACTTTAAAGAGATACACTCTATACATTGCTAATGTGGTAAATGACTATTCTAGCTGCAAATGTCTGGTTTTTGGTGCAATATCTACATAGATGTATAGAGGCCCAATTCCAGCAACTATCACTCCAGTGTTCTAATGGTACAATGTTTTTGCTCATTGGCTCAGAAGGCTAATTGATGATTAGAAAACCCTTGTGCAATCATGTTCACACATCTGAAAACAGTTTAGCTCGTTACAGAAGCTACAAAACTGACTTTCCTTTTAGCAGATTGAGTTTCTGGAGCATCACATTTGTGGGGTCAATTACATGCTCAAAATGGCCAGAAAAAGAGAACTTTCATCTGAAACTCGACAGTCTATTCTTGTTCTTAGAAATGAAGGCTATTACATGCAAGAAATTGCTAAGAAATTGAAGATTTCCTACAACGGTGTGTACTACTCCCTTCAGAGGACAGCACAAACATTACTTTGCCATTGCTACCACTGTGCTTCCCCACCCTGATGTTTATACTGGTCTTTTGTTTTGTTTTTGCCTCTCAAAGACAGTCCATGTTGGGAAAACTGTTTTAACCCTATGTAAGTGGGATTTCAAAAAGAAGGGCTGATTTTTTCTGACAATTCAATAAAAGTACAGAACATTTAATTTCATGGAAGACGGATGAAATGGTAAGTCTGCTTAGATTTAAGGATATGTAACAGGAGCAAACTCTTTTTTTTTTTTCCTCTTCAGTTAATTATGCCAGACCAGTCATAATTCTTGGACCCCTGAAGGACAAAATCAATGAAGATCTGATTGCAGAGTTTCCAAGCAAGTTTGGTTCTTGTGTTCCACGTAAGTTGCCATTACAAATGAGGTCTTACAGCTGGCAGTGAACAGACAAGCAGTAATTAGTAATTGAGTTATTGCGTTTTATGTGTTTATGTAATGCAGAAAGCTTGAATTTTTAATTTATCTTAACTTGGTTCCAGCCTGGGAGACATTCGATGTCCAGTTTTGCAGATTAAGCTTTAGGAATTGATGTCCTAGAGCAGCGGTCTGCAACCTGCGGCTCCAGAGCCACATACGGCTCTTTGGACCCCCTACAGCGGCTCTTAATAGTGGCTAAAATATATATAAAGAGCTAAATAATGTACTAGTCTTAAATGTTTTCTTAAACACAAGATGGAAATAAACACAAGATGGAAAAGAATGACATTAAAAGAACCAGAAATATGTTTTTAGAAGCATTTTTCTTTGAATTAGCTTGGAATTTATGCGTTCAATATTAGTTTAAAAGCTAAAAAATACGTAATTTGTTGGCAACTAATTTCCCATATGAGATATTAAAAAAATAGGCTTTTTAAAAAAAAAGTCAGGTTATATTTTGAGGCCCTAAACAACTTTTACTTGGTCGGATTCGGGGCTAAATGGCTCTTTGGATATGAAAGGTTGCAAACCCCTGTCCTAGCTCATTATAGTTGTTTTCACAATGTATTAATCATGGAGTGTGTTTATGTATGAATCTTTATTGGAAAGGCTTAAGGCAATAAAAATATATGCAACGGACACATTAGACAGAGAGGGGGGGTTAGAAAGGGAGAGGGGATAAGAATTAAGGGGGAAGAGAGGGAGATCAACGAAGAGAAAAAAAGTCGGCGAGAAAAAGAGAATAAGCAACACATAAACTAAACAGTAGCTTCAGGAAGTTTGCCTCCGCACCTGAAACAACCGAGAGGAATAGAAAAACAGAAAACAACACAACGCCTGCAAAAAGACTGTACTTACATAGAGCTTTTTCAAGTCAGATGACTTGGCAAAAGACCTTTACATTACATGCTGTCATTCACACACACACTGATGGTGGTGGGCTTTATTGTAGCCACAGCTGCCCTGGGGCTCACTGGCAGAAGCGAGGCTGCCGTACAGTGGCGCCACCAGGCCCTCTGACCACCATTAGGCAATGCAGGTGAAGTGTCTTGCCCAAGGATGCAACAACACTGAAAGCCGAGGTTGGGGCTTGAACTGACAACCCTCCGGTTGCAGAGCAAACTCCTACATACGATGCTCCACCAACACACCAACAGAAAGGTGAATAGAAGTGGTTTAATAACAAAGTAACAAAAAGTACAGCAAAGAGATGTTGCCATCAATTTGAGATTGGATCATTTTCTTAATGAACATCATTTGATGCTCACATGTAGCTGATCTGTTTGTTTTTTTTACCTTCCTTGATCTGCTGGGGTACCTTTTTAAGATTATCCATCAAACAGAGCTGTTCTTTCATGTAACTTGGTTTATGATGTTTTTTTAATCATGAAGGCCAGCTGACAGCCTTAACTGGCCCCATTGATTTTGACGTACAAAAGAAAAAAAAAATCGGAAGGTTAACGCTGTTAGCAATTTAATCTTAACATATTGAAAATCAAAGTCTTTCAAATCAACTAGTGATGCAAACATCACATATTCGTATGTTCTTCTTGGTTTGTCAGGTTTTTATTAACTTCATTGCAAGCTATATAGATGCTGATCAGATAGCCTGGTTTCTCTGTGCTTCAAATGTTTTCAAAAGTTTTTAAGCAAGTTTTATTTTTGCACGTTTTTATTTATAACATTTTCATTTCATCTCATTCTTGTAACCAACAAAGCTGCTAACAGTTCAGGGTCTAAAGGTAAGTGAGCAGGAAAATAAATTTTAACTCTGTTAATCCTAAAATTCCTAATTTTTAAAACAGCTCCAGAATTCAAAGTTTTTATTAATTCAATTTTATTGATTCCAAGGAGCATAGAGGGAGTTCAGATTGGAATGTACCTAGACTAAAATGTTTTTTTTCCAACCTAGATGCTGCTTAGTCCCATAGTTTTCCAGTCCTACCATGCTAATGACAATCTAAAACAACTAATTTTGCATTTAGGTACTACCATCTGTGTAGCCAAACCAATAGCTGGTTCTGCTAGCATCTAGGAAGCCTTTCTGTCTCTTCAACAGTGCTTCAAGTCTCTACTGCTTTATGTTTTTCGTATATTGCTCCAAAAATTCAGGGAACGCTCAAATAACACACATAGATGTGACTGAATGAGATGTTCTCGTTGAATACTTTATTCTGTACAAAGTTCAATGTGCCGACAACAAAATCATGCAAAAATCATCAATGGAAATCAAACTTATTAACCAATGGAGGCCTGGATTTTGAGTCACACACAAACTTTTATTGAAAAAAAGCTCTAAATGCTGATCCAACTTTGATGTAATGTCCTTAAAAAAACATACGTGACAAGAAAACGGCACCAGTGGCGTATTTGCCAATCCTGGTGATCTCTGGCAAATACCAAGCATCCTGCACGGTGTTGAGCTCTGAGCACAATATGCATCTGTGGAAGTTGTGCACCCATACCATCCTCATGGAGTGGGTTTCTAACCGTTGGTGCATAAACATGCACATTTGTGGCCTGCTGGAGGTCATTTTGCAGGGCTCTGGCAGTGCTCCTCCTGTTCCTCCTTGTATAAAGCAAAGGTAGTGATCCTACGGCCTCCTCCACATTTCCTGGTTTATTGGCCTGTCTCCTGGTAGTGCCTTCAGCCTCTGGACTCAATGCTCACAGAAACAGCAAACCTTCTTGACACGGCATGCGTTGATGTGCCATCCTGGATGAACTGAAATTCCTTAGCGACTTGTGTTGGTTGTAGAGTTAGTGTCATGCTACCAGGAGTCATAAAGCAAAGGTACTGAGAAGTGGTCTGTGGTCCCCACCTTCAGAATCACTTCTTTATTAAGTATATCTTGCTAATTGCCAACCATTTCCATCTGTTGTCTTTTCCATCTCCACAAAAACGTGAATTCGATTTTCAATCAGTGTTGCTTCCTAAGTAGTCAGCTTGATTTCACAGAAGTTTGACTTTATTGAAGTCTTATTGTGTTGTTTACGTGTTCCCTTTGTTTTTTTAGCAATGTATTATTGTCTGATTTTAAACAGATTGTAGCAGGCCTCAATGTTATAGTGATATCCTAGGAATTGATTATCTTTCTTATATCTTAAGACACCACAAGGCCAAGAAGGAGCTATGAAGTCGATGGACAAGACTACCTGTTTGTGATGTCCAAAGAGCAGATGGAGAGGGACATCCAAGATCAAAAATTCATTGAGGCTGGACAATACAATGATAATCTTTATGGAACAAGTTTCCAGTCTGTAAAATATGTGGCCGAAAGGGTAAGAATCTATGTAATTTACTCAACTTTACCTTAGCTGCCCAACGCAGAAGCAGAAATGTTCAAATAAATCTAAGAACACGTAATGTTTCTAATCTTCTCTCAGTTTCTCTGGTTCCTATTTTGTGCTGTCAGCAAAAAACGAAAAAAGAAAAGTCATTACAATTAAAGATAAACTTCTTGTTTGTGAATCTTTTTAATAATTATCTCTTTTCAGGGCAAACACTGTGTTCTTGATGTTTCTGGAAATGCAATTAAACGACTACAAATTGCACAAATACATCCAATAGCTATCCTGATAAAACCCAAGACTCCCGGTTCACTAATGTGAGTATATCACTGGTTACATCTCAGTCTCATATCTTTATGAAACAAAGCTTTCAAAGCGTTCTCATCCACTGCTAATACAAGATATAACTATATCTTATATAAATATTATATCCATCCATCCATCTTTGCCCGCTTATTCATGGTTAGTGTCGCGGTGGGGCCTGTGCCCATTTCCAGCAGTCAAGAGGCAGAGTACACCCTGGACAGGTCGCCAGTCTGTAGCAGGGCAACACAGCGACACACAACCATGCACACATGCACACACTCAGACGTTAAGACAACTTAGAGAAGACAATTAACCTAACAGTTTTTGGACTGTGGGAGGAAGCTAGAGTACCTGGAGAGAAGCCACACATGCACAGGTAGAACCTGCAAATTCCATGCAGACAGATGCGGGGCAAGGAATCAAACCCAGAAACATTTTGCTGCAAAGACAACAATGCTACCAACTGCACCACCATGCTGCTCTATTATATCCACATTGATATCTTAATCTATTTCTACATCTGATTTTAAAATTGATCACATACTTCTATCTATGTGTTAAATCTAAATATTAAGACTTTTTATTAGGGCCATATTGGGGCTTTTAGCCTTACCATCATGAGGGTAAAGTCATAATATCATGAAATAGAAAAGCTTTTGTTATAAGACTAAAACTTTGGTAGAGTTATTAACTGAGCTCACCCAGACTGCAGCCTGAGTGGTTTTCTTGAAGAGTTTACATTAGTGTAGACTTCTTCCTCATCTCATAATATGGCATTGCTCTCGTGCTCTACTTTATTCCCGCGATGCTATGACTTCATTGTGTTAACATTACAATTTTTTTACCCCGGTGGACAAGAGGGTTTGCATGGCTTTCTCCTCTGGGTTATTCAGCCGAACATCAGTGCGGAGTCCCAGAGAATTTCATAATACGTCATAGTGACTTTGTTTCCAAGTTTGAAGACATTTCTCTTCCATCCAGGAAGCTTTTTCAGTTCAAAATGTCAGAAATAGCGTTGAGTTCCAGGTTTTATCCAGAAGCCCAACAAAGCCTTGTTTTTTTTTGAAAACATGCAAATTGAAACGGATGAACAGGTCCACCCCTTTGGAATGGGGTTTGGCTTCTTGCATCCACTCCCTTCATAGCAAGCTATCACAAAAAAATGCATTTGAAAGTCATTTTATTTACACTGAGTGTGTCTGTTTTTAAGTCCTGAATCGTTTTGACCCTGGGATGGTTTCCCTGCCAACGACCCCTGCCTCATACTCTAAGGCAGATTTATCCAGACTCCAGACCCATTGTTCCTGAACAATATAATTTGTGTAACAACACTGAATAAACTGAAAAACTAACATTTTATCTTAAATTCTATACTTCTGCACAGGAACATGAATAAGATGCTGTCAGAGGAGCAAGCAAAGAAAAGCTTTGACAGGGCTCTGAAACTGGAGAGGGAGTTTGGAGAACTCTTCACAGGTAAGTTTTTATTAGTAATATGAATTTAAAAAAAACATAAAACAGACCTAAACCTTATTGTAAAACATGGGAAAACACATTAAAATTCAAAAATGTATGTGTAAAAGAAAGCTTTTAGAAATTAAAGAAAATAACTGCGCATGATCTCTGAACCTTATCTAAGCTCATTGCTGCAGCATCTTGGATCAAAGTACACATATCTCTATAAATTATCAACACTTTATTTACAGTCTCTACCTTCCATCATTTAAGATATTTTCGTTTGGTGATCTGTTTTCATGTGTAGCCATGTTAAATGCCAGCAGTAAACACCTCAGAAGGACGCAAATTCAACCCATTCCATTACTTGAAGGTGTCCAATAGGTTAGAATCTCTTGGACAAATTAAAAGCTGAAGCTGCAATGGCTCGATTCCTCATGCCTGCCAGGATGTCCTGAGACTCTCAGCTCTCAAGCTCATTCATAAAGTAACATGCTTAGTGCAAAACGCAGCATTTGTAAAATTGGGTAATTAAGCCATTTATAGCATATTTCATACGGAAAATTAAAGAATAAACAGTTTCTGTCTTTCTGCACTGCATATATTTTATATATTTCCTCTGGCGAATATATATGGAAATAATACACAGTAATAGGATTGAAAAAAAAGATAATTGTTGTCCCTTTCCTGAGTCTTTGTTTCTTAATTTCAATTCCATTCAGTCTTCTGTCCAGGAAACACAAAGCCAGTTAGACGAGCTCCGAGTCAGCTCCCATGTCAGAGGATGAAAGAGAGCACATCCAGTTAGTTACAGTCAGAGAAACAGGACTACACTGGAAAACAGGCCAAGCTCCAACATCTGTTTTTACAGTGTTTAAAGAGGCAGTTAAGCTTCAGCCCGGGTCTGGTACAATTACTCCTTTGTCATAAAAACATCTTGCTCAAGACTGTGTAAATGATCAATCAGCTCTAAGATGGCTTCAAAAATATTCAGGCTAAAAACAAATTACAAAGATGCACTCCATAGAGAAGGCTACTAGTTTTCTGACCATTTTCTCATGTTTGGTAGTCATTGAAAACGTAACCAGGGAATTTGACATCCACCGCTTTTCCATAGGCTGATCTCAGCCCGATTTTGATATCAGTCAGCGAAGGGACTGCTGGTCATTGTTCGGTCATCAGCGTGGTCAGACAAATGTTGGCAGGAATTGGATGCAGATATGAGAAGGAGTTTACCAGGGTAATGGAGGGAACAACAAGCCATACACCACATTGCAGGGGCTTTTTAAAATGTCCTGACACTTTGAATGGAAAAGAGGTTGATGATTCTGCCCTCACTGCTGCACCCTCCTCTCATGGTGTATGGGAAGGGCAAATGTTAGAACTCTGACAATCCTGCATCATTTTATATCTTTTCTGTTTGCTTTCAGCTCTGGTTCAGGGAGACACCTTCGATGATATTTATCACCAGTGTAAACAAGTCATTGAGGAACACTCCGGACCCTACATTTGGATCCCATCCAAGGAGAAATTAAAATGACTCTTAATGCTAGAAGGCAAATGTGAAACTGTATCAAGAAAAAATGTTCTCTTTCATTTGCTGTTACACTTATTTTATTCGTTTTGTTTTCCTACTTCACTTATTCCCACCGAATTGAACTGAAATTGTTTATTTTATTTTACTTTTTTATGTTTTTGAATTTTTAAAGTGTATAAAAACGTAGAAGCTAGATTAGCATGATGAGATGTAATTACATCAGTGAGTGGAATTCCAGACAGACAGTAACTGTAAAACCAAACTATCTTAACGTTGCCACTTTCAAATAAAAAGACTGTCTTATCTCTTCTCATAAATTCATACTTTGTTATTTTGTTGGAATGCTTATGTTCATATTAAAATAAAAGTATGCATCTTGTTAAAATTAGCTATTTTTTTATTTTTTATTTATTTTATTTTTTTAAGAAGAAGAAGAAGACATAACTTAATCCTCAACAAAACATGTCTGTTACTCTGTTGGGGAGATACTTTATGACGACTGCTTTTCTCCCCTCGCCACACCAAACGCTTGATCTGGTGCCAATTTGAGGGCATTCAATTCTGGAAGGATTTTGTAAAAATAAATAGGAAAATACACTGAACACTGTAAGCAGGAAATCAGAATCAAAATCAACTTTAATGGCCAAGATGTCTTGCACAGTTTTTTTTACATTTTTATATAAAAGAGGAAGGCTGCAGGTCTTTGTTGTTCTTGTGGAGTCTGACTACGCTGGCTAACAGATGTTCTCTGACTTCAACAGAGAGACAGGAAGGAAGAAAGAAACTGTCTTTTGGATGTATTTAATTAATATATGTCCTTGGAGGACATATATACCAGGTATATATACATACCTGGTATATATACACTCACCGGCTACTTTATTAGGTACACCTGTCCAACTGCTCGTTAACACTTAATTTCTAAGCAGCCAATCACAT